ACATCTATAGTCCCAGCTCATTGGCAGGCTGAAGTGGGAGGATCGCCTGAGCCCAGGAGTTCAGGTTATAGTGAGCTATGATCACACCACCACTGCACTCCAGACTGGGTAACAGACCAAGACCCTTTCTTTTTTGTAAAAACATGATTTGACCAGGCTCGGTGGCTCAGCCTGTAATCCCAGCACTTTGGAAGACCGAGGCAAGTGGATTGCCTGAGCCTGCGAGTTTGAAACCAGCCTGGGCAACTTGACAAGACCTTGTCTCTACAATTAAAAAAAAAATTAGCCTGACATGGTAGCATACGCCTGTAGTTCTGGCTACATGGAAGGCTAAGGTGGAAGGATCGCCTGAGCCCAGCAGGTTGATGGTGGGGTGGTCATGAACGTGCTACTGTACTCCAGCCTGGGTGACAAGTGAGACTCCAACAGACACACACACAAATGATTTTGGGGAAACATGCCAAAGAAACTACTCAAGATTCCCATTCATTCTCGAAAAGTTTGCTTGGATGTATTATTTTTACTGAAAACCGAAGGACTCATGTTTAGTGACTTATGGATGCATATGAATTAGTTATTTGCTGTGGATTACAGAACTTAAGAGGAACACCACAACACTGAAGCTGGTGATAGATGGTGAGTGGTGGTCTTCAGGGTCCACATGGGACTGTGTGAGATTTAGACTGTACCGGGGGGAAGCGAAGCAAGTGTGTCATCCATCACTGTCACCAGTCATACAGCATGGAGGAGTGGGAAGGTACATTCTTTGGAATCAGACAGACCCAAGAGGAAAGTTCAGCTCTTCTCTGTGCTAGCTGTCTGACCTTGGCCTTTTTTTGTGCCTGTTTTCCCAACTGTGAAATGAGCCTATTCACCACAAGAATGTAACAGGACAGGATATGTGGAGCGGCTAGCATAGGTCTGGCTCGTGGGATGCCCTGATTAAATTGTGGCTGTTGTTATCCCTACTTTCATCACTCTAGGCTTTCTGAAGTGTCTGAAGGTTCTCTGACCCCCAGGAAGATCAATGAAGGACGTTTTCAAAGAAAATCTGTAATTATTTATGTGTGTGTGATGAGAAGAGAGGGCCAGAGGGGCCCAGGTTCCTGTTGAAGGCAGGGACCATCCTATTTGTCTACATTTTCAGTGCCAGGTCCCTAAGTGCAAACATTTCATTCTCATAAGAATACCAGAGGACAACTCTTGTTCTGAGTGATATTCCCTTAAGAAGAGGTTCTTTCCTTGCCAAAAAAGAAAAAGCAACTGATCACAGGCATGGTTACTATGTACAGTTTTGTTCTTGACATTTTAAAAGATCCAGAAAAGAGCTTCAAAAGTTCATCTAAAAGTGGATAGAAAGTAGGTGTTGGGAATAAAGGCCATGAGAGAGCTGGAGTCATACACTTCAGGGAATAGAAGGTCAACAGATTCCAATGTATGAAGTGTCACAATACTGAGGCTACTCTCTTGCTTTCACCTCTATCGAATATACGGGTCCTATTGGTGATACCTTTTCTTGGATGGATGGATGATGTCTTTTCCTGGAGAAAAGGGGTCAACCAGACGACCTTTTGAGATCTCTCCCAGTTCTAAGCCTTTTGCACAAATCTGGAAGAACAAATAGAAAGCCAGCACACCGATGTGGGGGTAGTCTTTAGTTGTACCCCATTTAAAATAAGGTTGAGGTAGTTTGGAATGGTGGAAAGGGTAGGAACCAGGAGTCAGGCAAAGCTGGGTTTAAATCTGTGTCTGAGACTAACTGTTGGGCAAGTTATGGTAGTCAAAGAACTCAAGTCCAGACTTAATTGTAGCATGAAGATAATCTCTGCCTCCTAGGGTTTCTGAAAGGATTAACTAATGTTGGCAAAGCACCTAATACCCTGACTGGCACATAGTAGGCCTTTGATAAACTGGAGCTATTATTCTAGTTGGTTAAAAACATGGGTTGAATAGTTGCCTTTAAAACATGAAGAGAAGCCAGGCTCGGTGGCTCAGCCTGTAATCCCGCGCCTTCGGGAGGCTGAGGTGAGTGGATTGCCTGAGCCCGCGGGTTCGAGACCCACCTGGGCAGGCGAGACCTCATCTCTACAATAAAATAAAAAAATTAGCTGGGCGTGGTAGCGCGCGCCTATAAATCTGGCTACTGGGAAGGCTGAGGCAGAAGGATGGCCAGAGCCCAGCAGGTCGAGGCTGCTGTGGCCGGGAGCGGCCACTGCCCTCTAGTCTGGGCGACAGAGTGAGACTCCAACTCAAAAAAACAAACAAGCAAAAAAAAAAAAAAACATGAAGCGAGTGATGACATTCTGGAGACAGTTATACCACATCAGGAACATTGCATAATTCAAGTTGGTGGGCTGCCTTCCACTGACACCCTTTCGTCCCACGTCCCACAGAATCCTCTCTACAGACTAGAACTTGTCCATGCCAAAGATTGTTTGAGGGGGCAACTTATTAACTACTTTTTGTGAAGAAGCAAAGGAAATGGAAAAAAAGGTCTAAGGTATCTTGTATGAATCTGGTTCTTCTCACTGTCACCACAAGAATCAAATTAATTATTTTAAAAAGGTTTCAAAAACACTTCCAAGCATAGGGAATATATTTCACATGCCTCAAAGTTTGTGCACATCCCATTGACTTACTATTCACACGAGTATAGTAAAAATGTCAGTTACAAAACAGGTTGCAAACCAAACTGATTGTCAGAAACCGTAATGATTTTTCTCCTTCACAAATGATATAATGCTAAAAATGGAAATGATTAAGAAATTAAACAGCTCTCTTAGAGCAATGAAATACACTGATCAGAGTCCTATACTGAATAAAAGAGCTCTTATCACTATCAGATTTTTTCCATTAAATATGGCTTTTTGGTGCTACATCAATGTGATATTACATATTTAGCATTTACAGAAAGACGCTGGAGTCCAAAAGGGAGCAGCTCTGGTTTTTGTTCTTTACTAGAGGTGGGGTCTGTGGCAGGACGCCTGGAGGCTGTGGAGAATTGGAAAAGACAGAGGAAATACAAGATAGAGACATGTACACAAAGTGAGCCCCAAGGAGAATGTGGCCAGAAACGCGTTTCAGGGGCATTTCCTGAAGCCCCTCTCTGTTGCATGGAGAATCAAACTTGGCTTGGGGAGCACTTCCTGCTTCCATCAAAGGGGGAACGAGACACAGCTGACAGAACCAAATGTTACACACAAGAAAGCAGAGCAATGTACTTTGAACTAATGAAGTCATAGGAAAGAGTAGCTTATTTTTGTTGGGAGGGAACAAATGCAGGCATGACATATTGTAAAATGACTCCAGCTTCATCAGGGAGCTGGACAGGCCCAGTGTGGATCTACGAAGGCCATCACACCATTAAATACATGCTAAGCAGGAACCTCAAGTGATAATGGAGCTGACCTTTTATGACCACGATACAAGTGTTACATTGTGGGGCCATGTTGAAATTCATTGTTTCACATGCATACATTTCAAGTGGCAACAGACCACTGTGCTGCTGAAATAATCCATAGAGTCTAAATTAAAATATCTCTGTAAATTCATCACCAGGCCCATCATTTTCACGATATTTGTTTAGAAATGAGATGCAAAACGTCCTTTGAAATCTATTTCATCTACAATTACATTGTTTTTAAATCTCGTTTCCTTAAAACCACAGATATTACAAACCTAACTGTACATCATTCACAAGCAAATTCACTTATTATTATTATTTTTACATGTAGAACAATAGAACAAAAGACAAAAACAAAATGGCAACAAGGTAACAATCAAGAACATTATGGAAAGGAAAAAAAAATCCAGTAAATTCAAGGAGAAGAAAAGTATCTATGATGCTGGATATTAAGTCTAAAAGTCCTTACTATCAAGGAGATATTAAAATCATGTTTTACTCCTATATTCTCAGTTCTCTTGAAAAAACTAGTCTAACTTGTAGATTCGAATGTTCAGTGTGTAAACTACTTTCCAGGAATAGGGCAAACCCTTTCAGCGGTTTATTCAGTATTTTAGATCACTTAGATTAATGCCAGTAAAAGTCTGTTCAGAGAGTTACTGGCTTGAGAAAAAAGAGGAACTTTCAGAAATGCTTATTTCAATACCAAGAAGTAACTCAAGTGTTTAGAATATTTAGTTAATCCAATCCTATGAGGTAATCTGATGTCTGATGTTAAAAGGAACAACTACACCATGATACCTAAATTTTGAACTTAAAAAAAAAAATGTGTGCGTTTATAATTAAGTGGAAAAAAATCCTTTGCTTATCCAGATTTTAGTAACTGTAACCCATTCACTGAGAGAGATTTTAAGTTACAATGACAAAGAGAAATTGCTAAATATTTTAAGGTACTTTGACCACATTCCTACCCATATCAGTGTCCTTCCAGATTCATCTTTCTGTTACCGGACATTTCCTTCTTCTTCTTCTTTTTTTTTTTTTAAATAAAAAATAGACATTAGTGCTTTAGTTCATTTTGGAAATATGCCTTGCAAAGGACATCAGAGATATTTTTCTTTCTTTTTAAAAATGACCTTTAAATAAAAATAATAGACTCTTTAGGTAACACACAGCCCAAAGCAAACAACATTAGACTCTGCTAATATGGTCATGGGATGCCCAAAGAGACCTTCTGAAGTAGGGCGGTCACGTGCTAAAACAACTTAAAACATTCTAACAGAAGGCAAATGGAGAATCACTAAGGAAACCAGCAAGCAGAGCATCCAGAGGCTGGAGGGCATTATACAACATCCTTGTAGCAAACCTTCCCGTTCCACCAGCACTGGAGGTTTTCAACACGGTCCTTCCTCACTGGCAAGGCAGACTCTGATTTTCTTGACACCAGGAAACAATACCATTCTATTCCTAGACACAGTGCAGAACCCAATACATTTCAAGGTCATATGGCATGATTTTCGTTGATATGTGACCACCTGCTGGTTTAGAAAAGTAAATTGTACTCGAACTTGACCATGCTGCACTAGTCTTGGTTTACCTGCCATATGCAAAGCGCCTATCTTTGTGATGATCACCAAAAGTATCCCAAAGCCTGAGGGAAACGCTCACTTCATCAACAACATCCCGGGAACGCTCCAAGACCTGTGGGAGACAGAGAAAACATCCATGCTAGTGTCAGTCGGAGGCTCCCCAGGAGCAGTACGTCTGGTTCAATACCCCTCAACACCTCCACTCGCTTGCATTTAGATTCCTTATTCTGGCTGGGTGCAGTGGCTTACATTTGTAATCCCAGCACGTTGGGAGGTCGAGGCGAGAGAATTACTTGAGTCCAGAAGTGAGAGACTAGCCTGGGGAACATAGTGAGACTCTGTCTCTACAAAAAAATAAAAAAAAACATTAGCTGGGCATGGTGGTGTGCACCTGTAGTCACGGCTACTCGGGAGGCTGAGGTGGAAGGATTGCCTGAGCCCAGGAGATCAACCTGGGCAACAGAGAGAGACCCCCAACTCAAAAAAAATATAGTTTCCTTATTTCATCTGAGGCAACCTCAGCTAAGTCCTAATAAGTCCTAATTCTCTCCTGGAATCATGTGACTCAAACCCTCATTCAGGATCACAGAGTCATACTCCCAGGTTTGTGTTTTGCTTGTTTTCTCTTGTGTCACTAAAAAGGTTAGTGTTGTTTTCAATGTGAAATTTACCCAATCTCCTCCTTAAAAAAAAATCAGACTGGTAAACAGTGATGATGTGTCCTAAGGATTCCAAAGATACTGTATACCTTACCTCCTGGCAGACGCGGTACTGGTCAATCGCCCACACTGTTGGTACGTGGGTGGCCAGCAGCTGATACTGTGTGAGTGTGGTGTTACACGCTCTGGCACAGATCAAGCGTGTCTTCCCCACGGCATTGTCACCCACGACCACACACTTGATGGTTTCAACGTTGGGTCTTTCGTAGTCCATGTCAGTGTCCATTTATAAACCTCTGCAAGAAGAGAGTGGACACCACGTTAAGAATGCCCAGGCTCTGCAGAGCAACCGAAGATGCGAGGAGCACAAGCAGCTTTGCCTGGTCCAGCCAGTTCTGTGGAAGTGCCCGAGCACAGGAAAGACTTTTGGAAGTTCACACCAAGCCTAACTGACCCTCGGGTTTTCTTTTTATATCTCACACAAGTACAAAAACACCGGAATGTTATTTTGATCCTAAGCGGTTTATTCTCGTTAACATGTTATTTTCTCCTTGGTTTTCTCTAAACACAACCTGCATACTGGTGCTCCATCCGGGCACTGTCAGGTCAGCTGGCACACATTTATAACTCCCTGGCTACTCATGTCGACTGCTAACGAGACCGGTCACTTGTAGGGCTCACCTTTGTCACTGGGGTATACCTTGCCTTGGCAATACTGGCGTCCTAACCATCACAACCTCTCAATTACCCAATATCTGGTTGTTGAAAAGGAGTTTTCTGTAGATTCCAGACTATTATGGGGACTTAGAGGAAAATCAAAAGTGCAGGCTGAAAGACTATCTGACTTCAAAGAAGAGTCAACTGTGAGTCTGAATTTAATCAAATTATTTATATATATATATATTCATTCATTTATTTACATTAACCAAATTCATTTAACAAATATATATTCTCAAGAAGGCCCACTCTAAATCAAGACTTTAAAATTTAAATTGTCTTCACTTTTGTTTTCATCAAGACATCTGGAACATACCGTAAAAATGATGTTACCAGGAAAGGGAGCTACTTTGGAAACCCCCTGAAACCATCCAAGAAAGTTTAAAGAGGGTTGCTGATGAGGAGTCAAGAGAAAAAGAAAAGGCTGCTCTCAACTCGGCTTCCCCAGAAGGTCCCTCCATAGACTGGGGAGCAGACGGCTTACTGGCGGCAGCAGTACAGGAGACTGGCCGTGTATGATTTAACTAACTTCAATTATCCTTTTGAGGAAGTTGATTGTTAAACTAATAAAAACAGATAATAAGTGATAAAAGTTCATTGTTAACCTGAGAAAACTGGTTAGACGGTCATTTTTTAAAGAGTCGTTAAGATTCTAATGGCTATGATAGAGAAACTGTTCAGAGTCTACTATTATACATAACTGGGACTCAATAAGTATTTAATTCAACTGATTTGAGAAAAATGATGACTGGGATAATATGAGATTAAGGGCATAGACAGGAGTGATAGAAGGAAGACTATTAAGAAGAATTATTTTTTCACAGTTAGCACTATCTAGACATGGACTTGTCTCAGAAAGTGAAGGGAATGGAATTGTCACTGTAACGCCATCATGGGTTGGAGAATAATTTGGAAGGGATGGAGTGGAGTTATTCAAGGAACAGACGTGTGGTTAGGGGAGGATTTGATCTGTAGTTCCTACACTGTGGAAAGGCTTGAAACAGACAGTTACCTGTCTTCCACCTGGCAGATACTGATTCTGAACATCTTGGGCAGGAAAAGAAAGTCTTAAAATCTCCATTCTGATGATCAGCCAGGTGTGGTGACTCCTAAAATTGATCTTTTTAAAATTTAATGTTAAAATTCTATGGTTTGGTTAGTTCCCTGTTTAATAGTGTGGGTGGCAAAAGCATGAATTTGGTGTTAGATTGGTGATACTTAAACATACTCCAGGAAACATTTGGCAGTGTCTGGAGGAATGTTGGTTGTTGGATGGGTGGAGCTAGGGTGGGAGGGGGGTTCTACTGCTTCTAATGGTAGACGGCCAGAGATACTACTGCTAAACATACTGTAACACACAGGACAACCTCCCACAACCAAGAATTATCTGACTTCAAATGTCATAGGGCTGAGGTTGAAAAATTCTGCCTTAGATAAATGTGTTGACTCTTAGCTACCTTGCTTTCTAGTCATTTGACTTTGGGCAAGTTGCTTGTACTTTGTGGGCCACAGCCTCCTCATCTTTTAAGTAGGAATTATAATAATACTCATATCCTAATGTTGTTGTGAGGAGTAGCAAACTGATGTATTAAGTCCTCAGAGCAGTACCTCATATACTGATGGTTTCAAAAATTATAATCATGATGCTAAAGATGAATGCCTTTAGATGACAACAACATTGAGTTAAACCATAAATACAAGATGGAGCACAGCTGATCTTAAACAAAGAAGGCAGTAAAAGTTTCCAGTGGGGCCAGGGAGGAGGTCATAGTTAACCAAAAGATAAAAGAGTAGGAAAAGTGGGTTAAAAATATTTGTATGGGGCATTTCTAGATTCCAGAATAAAAATGGTAACACTTAACAGTCTCTGACAAGTTTCTGGTAATATTACCATGGTGTAGCCCGAATCAGAAAAACAGGTTTTGTTTGGAGTCTCACAACTTTGGAACCCAAGTTTCATTATTTTAAACATTCAAGTGGTGGAAAACCTTAATTTTTTAAGGGTGAACTTTATTTTTACTTTTTTTTGATAGATAAATGCCATAGAGAGCTAATGCCTAAAATTTGAGCTAGAATACTAAAAATATAGAACTGTTTATCTTGCTTGCTTGAAAACTAGCTCTGATAGCAGCCCCCAACAAAGAATACCCCAAATAATTTGAATCTCAGAAGCACTGATGAAATAGCTGTGTAGCTTTTACAGATTACTCTGAGAGGAACAGAGGCCCGTTTAGTTTTATATTAAGGTTATGATTATAAAACTATCATTACTTCACTTATTTTTAGACACATCTCATGCATAGTCCTAAAAAGAATTTCTGTGTCAAAGGTGAGAAAAACATTCATGGGTCTTCTAATCCCTGTCAATCTGCTCAAGACCAAAGTGACTGCCAAAGGTGCTGAACTCTGTGCAAAGGGGATACCATGTAAGGAAAAATAAAAGGAAAAGCAGAATTAAATATTCATAGCTGCAGATATGAAATTTCCAGGAAGCATTTGCTGAATTTACAAATACTGAAAATCTTTTATTTGGGGTAGAAGCTTCTTTTGTGGTACTCTACAAAACATTTCAAGCATGTGAAGTCACAGCCAAGGATGTTAACTCATGCTACACTTGTATTTCTGTAAATCATTTGTTCATCTGTTATACATAAACAAATAAACATTAAATTATGGTAGTCATTATAAAAAATATGCAATTTGATCTGTCTCCACTTGTTACAGGCTCTAATTTATTCATATCTAGCACTCTATGGTTGACTGAGCTCTTAGGACCATCTGGATAATGACTATCTGGCTTTAGAGTTTTATTTACCTAGAATGAAGTAACAAATACTATTCACTTAACACTGTTAATAAATTTCACCACCATAAATCCTGCTGATCTATGTGGCGATCCTTTGGCCTTTAGATACATACTTGAGGAGGTAGAAAAAGAAAAGGAAAATCTTCAAAGAACAGACACTGTTAACCTGCTACACTCTGGAGGCTCTGTCATCTCCCTACTGAACACCGACTTGACCTTTATCTCATATTTTCATGGAATTCTCAGGGCATGGATGCTGATAGTTGAAGAATCTACCTGCACGCTATCTGGAAGTCAGAAGTGGTAAGTTTAGCTGAAAATCGACACGGGGAACGGGACAACATGTGGCTTGGGAAGTGAAAGGCATGGTGGAGTGGTTCTGGTGCCCACCACCCACAAAGCTGATTTAGAAAAGCATGACCCTGCTCTTCAGGGTCTACAGAATCATCCCATCTGGTTTGATTCTCCCATGTTTGCCTGCTATGATTGCTGCCATCTCCTGGACTTCACTCCCCTCCGCCACATTCCCTGCCCGCTCAACGTTCTTGTTGTGTCCACAGGACAACACATTCCACAGCCTAATCTCATAATTTCTTCTCTTCTCCAAGGCTGGTGATCTTTTTTTTTTTTTTTTGAGTTGGAGTCTCACTCTGTCACCCAGACTGGAGTGCAGTGGCCGCTCCCGGCCACCGCAGCCTCGACCTGCTGGGCGCCGGCGATCCCTCCGCTTCAGCCTTCTAAGTAGCTAGAACTACAGGCGCGCGCTACCACGCCCAGCTAATTTTTTATTTTATTGTAGAGATGAGGTCTCACCAAGTTGCCCAGGCGGGTCTCGAACCCGTGGGCTCAGGCAATCCACTCACCTCAGCCTCCCAAAGTGCTGGGATTACAGGCTGAGCCACCGAGCCCGGCTAAGGCTGGTGATATTTACCACACTCTACCATCCATACGTTTGGGCACGTGTTGGGTATTGTTGTCATCCAGAAATATTCTACCTCTGAAATCTCAAACTTCAAAACTTCACTCTCAGAACAAAAACTCCTATCTCTACAGCCCGTGCTTGGTGAAATGAGGCCACTGCAGCAACTCCCATCAGGAGGTGCAATCTATTCCCTTCCTCTTGAATTTATGCTAAGCTTTGTGACTATTTGGTTTAAATGCAGGTGGTGGAGGTTGAGGCTGTGTGAGTTCCAGAGGCCCTTGCAGTTCCACCTTCATGCTGTTGAAATGCTGCCCTGAGGCCTCCATGTAAGGAAGCTGGCCTAGCCTAGCACTGTGAGAACTCACAATGAAAAAACTGAAAACAATGGAGGCAGCCCCACTGATGGCATCGCCAAATGTTAGGTAATGTGATGCCATCCTGTACCGTTTAGTCCAGACAACCTTCTCTCTGAATATAGTTTTATGAATGAGCCCTGATAAAACCAACAGGCGAATCACCAGCCAACCCAGAGAGTCATGAGAAATAATAAATCATTATTGCTTTTGGTCATCAAGTTCTGGAGTGGTTTGTTTACAGCAGTAACAGAAACATACCCATTATAACTTAGGAAAATTTCCAGAACCATGACTCCTCCATTAAAAAGAAAATCAGATGACAGACCCCTCTTGGGTGGATGATCTTTTCTACCTCAGGTTGATGAGTCATACCAACTTTTCTCTTCACCATCACCCTCAAGTTACTGCATTGCTTCTGTGGCAGGTAAAATAATGTCCCCCTGAATATGTCCATGTCCTAATCCTGGAACCTGTAAATATGTTTTATTATAAGGC